TGAGAGACAGATGGCTCCACACTCTGTGCTCAAGTGCTCGCGCAGTCAAACGCATTGGCATTCATCGCCATTACTATCCGTATCCGACGGAAGTCTAGCGTCAGTCAGCAGCATGTGTAGCATAGTGATTAATTAACAGAGAAAAACAAAATTTATTTTGGCAAAAAACAGACTTTTACGCAAATTAAATGATTTCTCGACTAGGTTATATAGTAAATCATTTGCAATATAATTTGATAATTACAAACAGAGTATAAAAAATTTGTTTATAGATTTGTTTATAAATATTATGTTATATTATGAGAACTGAGACAATAATTATAAATATTTTTTTTAATTTGCAAAAATAATCATTAATGTAATTATAATTAAATTCTTAATTACAATTTATTTTATAAATTAACTAAATTGAGCATGTCAAAAATAACGCAAAAATTGTTAGTGAATGTATTATTTTAAATATAAATCTGAATTAGAAAATTAGAGAATATTATTTGTCTTATTTGTGCACTTCTTTGTTGACAAATAATTTGATACATAAATTTGGTGAGTCTACGAGTAATTAACATGGGCATACTACATAAGTCTATGGCTATACTTTAACATGGGTAATTCTGCGTCTATGACAATGCTAAGTCTATGGGCAATGCTACATTTAACCACTTACACTCTGTCACCCTAAAACATACGTACACACGAACAGCCACGTTCAAACATCATACAACTAAATGCTTTACATCATACACTTTAATTAAAAAATTCACATAATTTTATTAAAATACATTGAATGTTGTAAAATAATAGCTTTAAATTGTTTACATAAATGATCCGTTCACACAGCTGGTATTTTTTAACATTATTTCTATGCAGTGCGGGATTTGGTTCATACAATTGGTTAGTTTACACAAATGCTACTTCACCAAAATGCTCTAATACTGTACATTGTTTTTGTTATATCTAATAAAATTAATTTTCATTGTGAATTGCTTTTTGTACCAATGCTGAAATTAATTTATAAATGATGAAGAATATGTTATAATGATGTCATACGGAATACACAATTACATATGAGTAAAGCATTAATTTTTAGATGACAAAAACTAGTCTTACAGGCACTATAAAAGTTACTTAAAATGGCTAAAATTTGCTAAAAAGTGGTAAAAAGTTATGAAAAAATAATTAAATTTACATAAAAATAATACATTCAAAGGTCAATAACATTCGTTTTTAAATTAATTCGTATCACAAAGTATTGCCTGAGATTTTCGGGTTTTCGAAAGATATTTAACAACTGTTAATAAGGGGACGCATACACTTCCTCGAAACTCACATGTTGAAATTTTATAAAATTAATTATTAATATAAAACATAGTGATTTTTATGTTTAGTACAATATAATATGACTATAAAACACCAATAATTAATAAATCAAGTAATTTTTCTTTCTTTTTTACAAAATAATATAGTTTTATTTAAATATTTTTCATGAGCGTGAATATTTTTAAAATAAAATTAATATTAATAATATTTTATATTAATTATAATGTCTCTGATTACATTTATAAAATTTTGAGCATGTAGGTTTTGAGCAAGTGCGTTTCGAGCAAGTGTCATACCCCCGTTAATAAGTGGCAAAATTGAGCTCAATATTACAGTTATTTGACATGACTTTAAAAGCGCGACTTTTGAGTGTGTCTCGTTTGGCATTCAATCGCATTATTATTGACACATATATGTTGACAAAAACGTGAATTTAGATAATTGTCGCATATTTTCTACACAATAGAAATTTTTGATAAATATTGACTAGAAATTCATTCATACAGTATACTGTAAAATGCAACAAGATTATAAAAAAATAACGTACATTCACTTTCTCTTTTTTTATCTCAAAATTATCAGAAGTGATTGCTTAAAAGTAATTAAAAAATGTTCATTAATAATCACAACTTATAATTTGTCAATATATTCAATACAAACCCAATTCTGTGATATAATAATCAATAAAATTGTAATTTCGCGGACAAAACTATCGTAATAAGAATGGTAATCAAAATAATGTTATTTTGTAAAGTGAAAGCATAATTTGTTTACTGAAATTTATACTTAAGAATGAATAATAAACAAAAGGTAATTAACAAGGCACTTTTTAGTAATTGATAAACTTCTCAACGTTACCAAAATCTATAGCAATGAAAAGTATTTCTTTTCTTAAAATTCAAAATTCTTAAAATAGCTACAATGACATAACATATACGGATCGATTACTGAATTATCAGGCAACATTTTTCTAATTGGTATTACTAGAATTGAATTACCTAGTCAAAAGTTATTGGGGATCCCCCTACGAAACATTATAGATTGTTTGAATTGCAATATAAAGATATTAGTAACTAAACATTGCTAAATTTATGAATCACTAAATCATTATGTACATTTGTTTATTATTTATTCCTTTAAAATGTTAAATTATTAACTTAAATTATGTTATTTTTATAATTAAAACTGCACTAGAACATAGCAAACAAACTAGGTTTACATTTGACCCATAACAAATTTAATAAATTAAAGTTTAAAAATATTTATTATTATTTATAATATACAATTAATATATATTTTTAAATGCTTACAAAACCGAGTGACGAGAAAAATTGTTTTGCTTCCCCTGTAAATATTTAATAGGGTTATTATTTTTAAATTGTTGACATTAAAAATATGTGCATGGTAAAGTACTTGCCAGTTGTGCCCATAAAAGCCACCCTTCCGTCGGCCATAAGTAAGATGTGATCGAAGAGAGCGAACACTTGAGACGAGGGCTGATGTATAGTACAGACTATAGTCCGTCCCTCCGATGCCATTGTCTTCAATGTCTGCACAATATTTTGGGCCATAAATGAGTCCAAACCAGTCGTCGGCTCATCACTCATATAATTAATTTGTTTATACAATTATATTAATAGTGTTTTAATAGATTAGTTAAATATTATAAATGCAATGTTAAAAGCTATAATTATTCAGCTATTTTAAACTGTAATAAATAATTTTGGTAAAAGGCAACTACTTAAATATTTTAAATATACTGTAGATATAGCATACAGTATAGTGCTATTGTGAATTAGAAATATACTAACATGTTTCAACTACAGTATATCAATGCAAGTTTACAATTATTTAAAACAACTATATTTTTAAATATATTATGCATAGAATTATAATACAGTGTAGGCTATAACAGTAGCTCAAATTTTAGCGTAAATTAACGTTCACGAATTTTTAATATTTACAAAATAATGTCCCTATAAATTACAGTACATTTTAAACAAATATTTTCCTTAATGTTTCAATTATTTACTTTTAATTCTTAATATCTATTAATGATAAATATAATCAAGTAACATCCAATGGCACAAATCTGTGCATGTTTTCTAATATTTAACTTGTAGTAATTTCACAATTATTACTTTAACTAAAATTAGTTAAAATCTACTATTTCTTGCCAAAACATTAATGAAACATTTGATAGAATCTAAAAACAAAAATAATATTACAAATATAATAATACAAAAATTATTAAATAACTTAAAAATTATAGCCATGTTTATTGATTAACATTAATAAATCTTATGTACAAACCTCTGATGCAAACGACAATCTTTTCATTTCTCCCCCAGAAATGCCTTTAAACTCAAAATCTCCCCCAATTTGAGTGTTCATACATTTGCTTAAATTAAACTAAAAAATATATAAATTATTATATACTGTATTAGGAAAAATATATTCTCTATATTTTTGTAAACATGTCTCACTTTTATAAGCAATTGATCGATGAAAACATTTTTCTGTTCACGAGTTAGACTTCTATCCATTCGTAACAATGACTAGAAATTAATTGCAAAATAAGTTAATTTAGTTGTAATTTCAATCACACGACAAGTACTTGAAAGACGAGATGTTCTCTAACTGTAAGGAAGGGATGAAACAAATCGTGTTGTTCTATGTATGAGGAAAGCGATGCCATTGTCTCCGCACTGACCGCCTGTCCATTCAATAGCACCACTCCTTTCACTCGTAGTTTCAATGGGTTTCTGGCCGTCAATACATTCAATAGCGTTGTCTTTCCGGCGCCACTGTATTTATAACAAAAATTTACTAATATGACCAAGGTAATTTGAAATGACACAAACCTGGCGCCCATTATTGCCAACATTTGACCACTCTTTACTTCACCAGAAACTGGATATTATTTTATAATTTTTTATGTTAATTAATTGTAATCTAATATTAATTATTTTAGTTTTAGATAATTTTATATTTTTACCATTTTTGATGATTTCTTTCGGCATTTTTTTTTACTTCGATAGCAATTATAAATACTTTTCTCGCATTTCGTAAACACCTGTAGATTAAGCCACGAAAGGGACACACTTTGGATGCCTTCACTTCTATCCACTCGACCAACGTTTCTCAGAGCGGGTAAAAGTGGGTAAAATGCGGGTAAAAGGGCGTAAACTGTAATGTATTGTCTATGAGAGCATAGAGGCAAAGCCTACTTTTTTGTAAGTTTTGAGAACTCTTGCACTCGACTATTATTTATTTCTAATATTACTTTCATTTTAATAGTTTTATTAATAATACAACTAACAAATAAATAATTAAATTATTAACAATAACATAATTATATACATGTATAATCTTAATTTATTATTGTAACTTCAAATTGAAGCAAACTATTATTTTAAATGATTTGCTAACTCATGGAAACACGCATTAAGTTTTTACTAAAATGATTTGTCATTGAATTTACTGTCCAATAATCAAGTTTTAATATGAAAACAATAATTGTTACATATTAATAATTAATAATGACAATTATTGTCATATGGCGTATACGTCATCATCGATCCTATAAACCATTAGGGAAGAAGTGGTGTCCGGGAGAGGGCTTAGCAGTGGTCGAAGGGTTTCTATATCTAAGTTCTTTGCATCAGAAATACGACATCAAAGCCAACCATAGAACCGATACAAGTCTTGAATACGAGTTTCAGTTTTTACTCACTCCTAAACAATGTCCTAACGTTTCATTCACTAAACGAGTGCACAATTAATATTAAAAAATGAATGAACTAATTATCATTATAAACATAAATTATACAATTATTCCTAATACTAATTTACTAACAATTATTAAATAAATGAAAATAATAGAACTTGTTTATTATTATAATTGTATATTTTATTAATTAACAGACTTAATATCGATAATTAATAATTATGAATTACATAATATATTTGTAATAACTTGGATAATTACATTGGTAATAAATTTTATTAATTATGATAACTATGTTAATAGTTACTTAATTAAAGTTTTCAACTAATAACTACTATTACCAATACTAACATCAAGAATACAAGGAATAAAAATTTAATCATGAACAAATTCCAGATTATTATTAAGGCTAACACTTGGGTTTTTATTAGATATTGTAATATAAGTCATTTATGTGTTTCTCATTGAAAGCAACACATTATGAATGTATTGACCTATTGATAACACTTTAATATGTAGTAAGTAGCAACAAAGGAGCAACTTTTTGTTAGCCTTAATTATTATCTACAGTAATAATACGGCCATTGGCTGCCATTCGGCTCCGGGCGTCGGCCATAGTGGTGCACACCGGGAGTTCAATCGCCCGCAACCTCTGGCCGTATCTCTCGTCAAACATCGCCGACTGTTCATCAGTCATATGCCGACTCCAGTCGCCGATTGTGCCCTTACGGACGAATTGGGCGCCGGGTTTGCCATTTTGTGCCATAAACGCAGATTTATTGGCCATAGGGTTGGCCCGCATTGAATCCAGTGAACAGTGATCGACAATTGTGGCCACCGTTTTGGTGGTAAAATCTTTGCCGAGAAAGCGGGCGATTGTGCGGACCATTGCCGGCAAATCTACAATCAACTCCTCGTAAGCCACGAATAATACTCGCGGGTTAGCCCTCCCGGAGCCGTACTTTAGCCAATAGGAGGTAACGTTCGCAAACCAGTCGCCCAGCCATAGGTGTCCGTCGAGGAATAGGTGACAAAAGTCGGCCCATTGGGCGCCCGACCCGTACCCCAAGTACGACATAGTTTGATGAAAATAATAAAACGAAACGCATACGTCCTTCGGGTTACGCACGATGTATATCACCTGATGGTCACATAATAAACAAGATTAATAATAATCACCACGTTCAGCTCTCTCTCTCTCTCTCTCTCTCTCTCT